GAAATATCCATGGACAGGTTTCTCTAGGGTCCAACCCGCCCCGAGAAAGTCGCAACGGCGAGGGCCCAGGCGAAGGGTTGGGTTGGCGTGCCAGTGGAGGTAAGATCAATCAATGAAAGCCGCCCGAATCGACCAGGGGCTGAGGCATCCTTCGTCCCCACCTCGACACACTGCAGGCTTTTGCAGTCGAGGGAGGCAGCATGCAGGACGCTGCAATGCGGTGCTCTCTGCCATTGGCCGTCCGCCGCGAGTTGTTTATCATGAGGATCAGTATTACCAAGCGGGCCCTCCTGTAGCTTACGGCTTCAGCTGCTGGCCTCAAAACCCGCTCCAGCTCCCAAGCCCGCGAGCACATTCGCAGCATGTACCATCCAGGTGCCCAGAGGCGCCCAGGAGCCCCTGGGACCCATTCATCGATACCTGCCTGGGTGGTATCTCTTGCAGGCACGTACCCGGTAGGAACGCCCAAAGGCCGACTGCCATCCCCTGAGAGGTTTACCATCGCCTGGCCTCTCGCACGCCTTGGGCTGCCCAAGAAGAAGCCACGTCGCCATCAGGAAACATGGGGAAGAAAAGAGGCGACTGGCGCCGGCTGCATGGTTATAATGGTACCTGCACAGCCCCCATCCAACCCGCGTAGTCACAGGCGAGCCTTGCCAGTTGCCGGGCATGAAGTGGGTTGGAACATGTGGTTCAACAATATGCTGGTTTTCATTCCTTCGCTGGACCTGACAGCACTGGTGGATTCTGGGTCCTGTATGCATCATGCATCCATGTTTGGCGAGAATGTCCCGCTGGCCTGGTCGGCCAGAGTTTCCCCCGGTCTGACACCGCCTAGAGAATAGCACGTGATGTCGTTACTGGCTGCTCGTTGAGTGCCCGGCAAGTCTGTCTGCTCCCTCGCTGTTGTTGCCCAGCTCTTCGGAATCGCCGAGCGCATCTCAGCCTACCGTTGCTGCCCTACCTACCCACCAGGCTGCACTTCCTCGGACGGCGTCGACTCATCCCGGGTAGGTTGGTGGCTCGCAGTGTTCCGAGCGAGGTCCAAGACACCCCTCCCAGCCGCAGCTGTATTTCATTTCTCTTTCTTTTACGGGGTATCAACTAAGCATAAAGCCCCCTTCGTCATCCGCTAAAGGTCTCTCTCTATTTTCTTTGACTGTCAACATCCACACCGAGTATTCGCAGAACTCCGAGATCGGAGTAGGCAAGCTGGTATCTCAGCGGGGCCCATGCTACCATGGGAGCAGGGCCAGCCGTCTTGACTGTGTGAACGTGCTCCCCGGACTCGGCGTGCGTCACCTCGATGGCCGCTCCTGTGTAGTCATGTAAGACTGGCGATTAGCAAAAACCTGGGCTTTGTACAGTGCTGGCCTCATACTGTACCACTAGTCGCAGCGGGCTAGGAAGACATGGGGCAGGAGAAAGGGGAATGGGCGAATGGCCTAGCTTACCATCGTCACTCCCTCCAACAACATAGGAGCCATCAAAGCTGAAACCTGGTAGATTATGAAAGATGCTCTGGTTAGAACGAACTCGCCAGCACGCAGGACGCAGCCCAAAGTTGTTTCCAGACTTACTGATACTTCGGACCGGCCCCGTCATCTTCCCAATGGTCTTTTGGCAGACCCAGTCCGAGGTGTCCCAGAGGCAGATCATAGAGTCCGAACCACCTGTGGCAAGGATGCGACCGGTAGGGCTAAGCTCGGTGCTGAGACACGAAGAGGTGTGTCCCGTGAGCCTGAATTCTGCGCTTTCATTTTCAGAGACTGGGTAGTCAACACGGTAGATGGGCTCAAATTCCGGGTACGACATGATTCGGGTCCTCCCGTCGCCCGTGGCCACAAAGACCTTGGTGCCGCTCCAACAGAATGAGATCTGGTTAGTCTGGATCGGCTGCTGAAGAGTCGCGCGCGGAGTGGGTTCCGTAGGAGACAGGATCGAAATCTTGTCCGACTAGAGTGATCAAGTAGACAGCAGGCCGGGTTAGCATGGGCATCTTGACCGGTTTAGGGTTACAAGGCTCGCCCACCTGAGTGCCGACAACGAGGCTCTGGCCATCGGGCGCCCAGGCCAGGGTGAAGGCCTCGTCGATGCCTTTGACCTCATTTACGCAGGCCTTGGTCCGCACGTCCCAGAACTTGACCACGCCGTCGTTGCTGACGCTGCAAAGCTCTGCATCCTTGACAGGGTTGAAGGCAACCTTCTCAATGGGGGCTTGGTGGCCCTTGAGCTCGGTCGAAAACCTCACGTTGGGCTTTTCGGGGTTCCCTGGCACATGCAAGAGACGGACCGTGTCAGCTGGTGCTGACGAGCCATCACGGGGCGGGCATCGCAGTGGCATCTCAGTCCCGCCAGAGATGCCGGGTAGCTACTCACAAACACGGAGGGTTTTGTCGGCAGAGCCTGTAGCCACCAAACTGCCAAGAGGATTCCATGCGATTGAGCGGATCCTAGGTGGCAGGCAGTTAGTCCATGACGTTCTCGAGAGCCGCCAGAGGAGGGCGTGAGGGAAGATGGTACGAGAGGGGATGAACTAACGCGCCGCTGGCACCCGGCCTCGACGTCTGGTCGGCCGTGTACGCCTGGGGAGTGAACTTCCTGATGTAATCACGGAATTTGGATTGGTCTAGCCTCTGCCGGGGCCTGAGCTGTGGTGTTGGCGCCATAGTCCGAGAGACAGACTCAGGGCCGGACGTCGCCAGATGGTGACCTGGAAGTGATATTGATATGTTGAGTCGGAGAGCACGTGGTGTGAATTGGACGCGACGCTCCTGCTCCAGATGACACAAAATCGAGGGTAAAACAGGGTTAGGGGCGTATTTGTAGCCAGCACTCTGACCGACGAGAAGTATGAGCCCAAAAGGTTCCCCGACGGAGTGGTGTAGTGGTGTACAATGGATCGACGTGTTGGTTGGCTTCGGCGCGCCGAGATTGATACTCAGGGAGCTAGCCAGCGCTCAAGTGACACTTGGATGTCAGCCAGTGTGAGCGTGGTTGGCGGTACTGTATGTTTGCTGCATCGTTACCGTGTGCTGGACAGTACAGATCCCATGTGGAGACAATCTAATTGACCGTGCACGCCAGCTTGCGTCAATTGGACTTGGTCCCTGACAGCGTGCAGCTCCAGGGGGCCGCACTCGTCAGCACCTGCACCCCAACCGAGCTTCGTGAGCTTCCGCAACCCGAGGTGCCGCCCACAAACGCCCCGGCACCAGATACCAGACGCCCCCAGCCTGTCTGCCATGCCCACTCGACTCTCCAGCGTGCCGCGCGAATGAAGTCGACGCCGGGGCTGCCCATCGCCTCGTCCCAGCCGTGGGCCTCGACAAGCAGCCTGCCCCCGACGGCCGCACCATGTACTGGCCCGTTGGAACACCTCGCATCTACGCCACCAGCGCCAGCAGCCAGGCCCCAACCTTCAGCTTCGTCGTCTCCCACGATGGCCTCCCGTCGCCCGCCGACCTCGACCCGAGGCCCGAACGCCCGCCACTGCCGCATGCCGACTCGTCCTCCAGCCATGATGGGTTGGCGCCGCCCCAGCCCTCCCCTCTTCTGCCCCCAGGCACGCCCCCCACGCCATTGACGCCCGCCATCAAGCCGGTTGAACATGCCCTCCAGCACCCCGACGGAGCAACTTCTTACCCAGCCCCGCCCGGCGCCGCCTCCACGAGCCTGTCACTGCTTCTGAGCGAGCCCATCCTGGCCCTACGCGTCGCTCGCTCAGGCCACCTCTTTGCCATCATCACGGCCACATCCATGACCGTATGGCAGACAAAGCCCACGGTAGTGCTGGCCGCCGTTGTCAGATCCCAGGCCTCCATCAAGTCGTACGGCACCAACGTCGACCTGCTGCTGCGCCCAGACTCGGCCATCTTTGTCGTGCATACGAGCTCGGGCTACCTCATCACGTACTCTCTAGCTACCGATATCGACTCGCGCGTGTATAGGCCCGTCTTCACAAGCCACCCCAACGTGCAGAGGAGGAGGCAGAGCCACGCGGGCGGGCCGGGACATGCGGCCCCCGACCAGATCATGTGGGGCCCTGGCGAGGGAACCGGGGTCCGCGATGTGAGCGTGCGCTTCAAGATGGTTATCAAGGTAGATGCGGGCATCGAGAGCGCCCTGGCGCTCGACGAAGAGCTCGTGGTGGCCACGCGCAAGCCTGCCGCCGTCCAGTGCATCCGCTGGACCCCCGACAGCTCTGGCAGCCAGACCAGCACCGAGATTATGAGCCGCATGGGCTGGCTGGATAAGAAGGTCACCATCTCGGAGATGACCAACGACCGACCCATGAACCTGTCCACCTGGATCACGAGCGACGGCAAGGCCTACGCCGTCCAGCGGACACCAGGCGGCCAGCCGCACCCCGAGACGGGCGAGCCGGACCCTAAGAAGTTATTCAAGGGCTACTGCTTTCACGTCCCACGCAGTGACGTTGAGCGGGCCGCCCGCGCCGTCATCAACGCCCGCTTCTCGCTCATCGCCGTGGGGTGCGCCGACGGCAACATCCGCGTGTACTCGGTCAAAGACTATGCGGGCAACGTGCCCCCGTCGCACGTCCACGCGCTGCCCGTCTCGAGCTCGGCCTCGGGCCGGCTGACAACGCTGACGTACTCGCCCGACGGCTACTGCCTCTTTGCGGGCTACGAGAAAGGGTGGGCCACGTGGAGCGTTTACGGCAAGCCGCTAAGCCACAGCTTCACGGCAGACCCCGCAATGGCGGCCGGCAACGGCGAGGCCTGGCTGTCGGGGGTCAGAGATGCTGCCTGGATCGGGGGTGCGGTCGAAATGCTCCTCATTGGTATGAGGCACGAGGCCGTGTGGCTCCTCGAGATGGCTCGCAGCGCCGTCACAGGCTGCTACTGTTCCGCCAACCTGTTCCGCACGGTGCTCCAGACGACGTCCAGCGTCATGGTCTACCGAGGCTACGACCTGCCCGATCTCAGCAGCATCTCAGCGGAGCCCTCGCTCTGGCACACAGCCAGCATCCCGGCCACCTACCTCCTGAACCAGTGGCCGGTACGATATACGGTTGTATCCCCTGACGGGCGGTACGTGGCCGTTGCCGGACGACGCGGCCTGGCGCACTATAGCGTCAACAGCGGGCGGTGGAAGATGTTCGCAAACGAGGAAATGGAAAACGAATTCCAGGTCAGGGGCGGCATGTGCTGGTACCAAAACGTCCTGGTGGCGGCGGTCGAGGTCAACCGGAGCTACCAGTTGCGCCTGTACTCGAGGGAGCCGGCCCTGGACAACGCCAATATTGTCCACCACCAACAGATGCAGTCCCCCGTTGTCCTGATAACGCCGTCGGGCGAGGATTCGCTGCTGGTGTATGGTCACAACAACATACTCTACCACTACGTCTTCAGCACCTCACAGTCGGGCTCCGTGCGGCTGGTGCAGGTGGGCCAGATTGCGTTTCATGGCATCGTGCGGTCCCCGGCCCGGGTGAGAGGGCTCAGCTGGATCCTGCCCGAAAGCCAGCAGCTCACCGGCGACCCGTCCGACGACGTGGCCGTGGCGTCGGTTCTGTTTCTCGTGGATGGCAAGCTGGTTCTGCTCAATCCGTCGCTGAACGAAGATGGGAACCTGAAGTACGATATGCGAGTCATCGCGCAAAGCGTCGAGTATTATTTTTGCATGTGGGATCAGCCTTTTGATGACGCGCTGCCGCCGCTAGCCTCCTCTGACGGGCACGGATCGCTGGACCCTGGAGGCCCGGCGCCTTTGGAAAACTCGCTGTGGCTGCTGGACGGCGGAGAGCTGAGGGTGTGGTCTGATGTGCAGACGGTCCTCGACGTCGTCTCAACGACAGGAGGGGAGCTTCCGCCGACGGCAACGCTCTCCACAGACTTCTACCCCTTATCCGTTCTCCGATCCAAAGGCTTCCTACTCGGGGTCGAGCCGGAGCTTGTCCAGCGGAGGGACATCGACTTCAGCTTCTTCCGATTCGCGCTCAGGGTATGTCCTCTCCTCCTCTAGCCCCCAGTCTTGATGCTCGGGGAAAGCTGACGTTTTGTTGCAGACACACCTGTTCCTCCCAGAGCTGCTGCGATTCCACTTGACGCGGAATGAATCGAGCGCGGCCCTTCGTCTGGCCCAGCAGTACCAGTCGCTAGCCTACTTCTCGCACGGTCTCGAGATTCTGTTGCACCATGTGCTAGACGAGGAGGTGGATAGCGCGCCAGCGCCCGAGGCGGCGACGCTGCCGCGCGTGCTGTCGCTGCTGTCATCGTTCCCGGACTACCTTGACGTTGTCGTGCAGTGCACACGCAAGACGGAAGCGCGGTCGTGGCGCACGCTCTTTGCCTACCTGCCTCCGGCGCAAGAGCTCTTTGAGGAGTCGCTCCTGCGCGGCAACCTCAAGACGGCGGGCGGCTACCTGCTCGTCCTGCACACTTTCGACGAACTCGCCTCGGCGAGTGAGCAGAGCGTCCGGCTTTTGAAGCGGGCGATGCGTGAGGGCGACTGGGAGCTGTGCAAAGAGCTCGCGCGCTTCCTGGCGGCGCTCGACGACAGCGGCGACACGCTGCGGGGGGCGCTCGAGATGGTGAACATCAACGCAGGCGGCGGGACCGTGGTGGTTGCCTCTCTCGCCGGGAGGATCGATGGCCAGCCCATCCCCCGCCTTTCGGTGCCCCCGTCCTTCAGCAACGGGACCGGAGATGGGCGCGGTGGCAACGGCAGCAGCAGGGATCGGAGCCGGAGCAGCGAGTCGATCAGCAGAAGTATCCGAGGGCTCGGTATCAACGACGGGAGCACGTCGCCGGATTCGTAGTCATGATGGAACTATGAGCAGGCAGCCCGAGCTGCTGGCCTGCAGTCATTTTTCTTGTTTACCTCTTAGTTTTCTTGTTTTGTCCCTTTTCCATCAAGCTCTTTTTCCAGTTCGGGTCTTTGGATAGACACGGGGTGAGCGGGATCTGCAGCTTCGCCGGGTTGCTTCGGGTAACAGACGCAGACGGAAATGCATGGCAGCCTGAGGGAAAGGACATACATAGCATAGCATTGCCCTCCTAGAGACAAAGAAATAGTAAAATAAAGTAAAACGCGTTGCATACGTAGTCGATTGCACTACCAGGTTCCTTCCAGGCACCTGCACGGTCCATGATAACACGACAATCGCTGCGAGATTACAGCGCAGGCAGGTACCACAGCGAGCCCCACAGCCCGACGGAGTTCCCAGACTGGCAGACTGGAGCACGCACGCACACTTGACATTATCAACGGCAGAGATTCCAGCGGTCCATCACCGCCCGCTCAATTAATTCCATGTGCCAGGGCCCAGGCAGACCATCCACATCCCTTCACCCACCCACCACCATACCCATCCGTCACTCGACTCTCAATCCGTCGCTCGTTGCAACCAAGACTCGGTCCTGTTCTTGACCCTGCGTACCGTCGCCAACCAACCCCACCTCCCGCCAGCGCAGCCGCAGCCTTCACAATATTATCCACCGCCTTGGTGCAAGCGCCCTTGTGCCGCAGCCGCCACTGACCGCGACGGTAGCAATCATGGACGACTTTGGCAGCGAGTCCGATAGCGACTATACCAGTTATTGGCGGGATTGGGTAAGTCTGGGCGCCTCTTCCCGTGCCAACTGCATCTTTCCGCCCATCATGGCCCTGCTCTGCTCTGCCTTGTCCTGCCTCGCCCTGCCCTGCCCTGTCCCTCCATCTCGCTCTCTGTTTCCCTTCATCTCTCCCACCCACCCGTCCCATCTCCTTTGATTCTTTGCTCCCTACCCGACCCCGCTTCTCTCACTTCATCCCGTCTTGCGCTGCCGCTGCCGCCACCGCCGCCCCCCGCCGTCGCCCCCTGCTGCGCGCCGCCCAACTCCGTTACGGATCTGCTCAAGGCTTGGAAATGTGACGCTAACAAACACGCCCATGCCTCCCCTCTCACAGTTCATCGGCTCGAAAGGAAACGAGTACTACTGCGAGATCGACGAGGAATACCTCACCGACCGGTTCAACCTCACGGGCCTGAACACCGAGGTGTCGTATTATCAATATGCGCTGGACCTCATCACGGACGTGTTCGACATGGACTGCGACGATGAGATGCGCGAGACCATAGAAAAGTCTGCACGTCATCTCTACGGCCTTGTTCATGCTCGCTACATCGTCACCACGCGTGGTCTAACAAAGATGGTATGGTCACCTCCATCCCCTTGTCCTCTGCCTACCTACCCGGTCTGGCCTGGCCTGGTCTGTGACTACCATGTAGGCAGGCGGGCAGGCGGATACATCTGGACTGTGCAGCTTACTCCTGTTCCGTCCCAAACAGCTCGACAAGTACAAGAAAGGCGAGTTCGGCAAGTGCCCGCGCGTCAACTGTGGCTCGCACCCGCTGCTCCCCATGGGCCTGTGTGATATACCCAACGTCAAGCCCGTCAAGCTTTACTGCGCGCGGTGCGAGGATATTTACAACCCCAAATCAACCCGCCACGCCGGCATCGATGGCGCCTACTTCGGCACCTCATTCCACAATATCCTGTTCCAGGTCTACCCGACCTTCATACCCACCAAGTCGGCTGAGCGCTACGTACCACGCGTCTTCGGCTTCAAGGTTCACGGCTCCGCCGCCCTGATCCGCTGGCAGTCGGCCCGTCGCGACGGCATGCGCCGCCGCCTGCGCAAGATGGAGATTGAGAGCGGCTTCAAGGACGGCGCCGACGAAGACGGGGTCGAGGAGGATGAGGAGGAAGAGGAGGAGGATGACGATGAGGGCGGCCTCGGTTTCGACCCCCAGCTGCGCGAAGGCCCCGAGGGCGGCGCTCTCCAGGACGCGTCTGTTCCCGCTCCCTCCCATCAAGGAGGCGACAGCATGGTGCTCGGAGCTTAACAAAGGTTCCAACTTTTTGTTCCGACGCCACGAAGCAGAGAAGCAAGGGATGAACACAGAGATGTTGGGCAGAAGGTGCTATGCGGTCTGCTCGGCATTTCTCTCTTGTTTTTCACTGCTTCTTTTCGCCTTCAGCGACTATGCCGGCCCCGACCCTCCTCGGGGCTCATGCTACGATTTTGATACCCCTTTTTCTAGGCGGAATTTGTTCATGAATACCACGACGCCTGTGGGAGGGAGGCCCGAGCCAAATAAACTACGACTCGCCCGTCATGACCACTCGGTCCTCCCAGATATTCCTCTCTATCTCTCTCTCTTTCACTTCCAAGGGTGTCCAGTGCGGTACTGTGGCCGAGATGAGATGTCTAGAAAGATGCGCGTTGTGGGATTTGCTGTATACTGTTGTACTCGCTTAAACGTGCTACGGCGTTGGTGGAGGGATTCCATGAAGCATGCTGTTTTAAATTGACCACGCCCACTGCACACACTGCATCAGGGGCATGTCCTGGGTGGGACGACTGTTTTCGGGACGACATGCGAAACGACAAAAGAGGGGGCAATCTCTTTGATTCATCTGGCCGATACAACCGAAACACATATGGGAAACCACGTTGGGCAGCGCGCGGGACATGTTGGTGATGGGTTGCATCGGGCACAGATTTGTGCTGAGCGTTGAGCCCTCATAATGTACCTATCTAGCTATCGATCCAAAAGTGAGAAATCAAAAAAGAACAGAACCCCAAACAGAGTCATGACTGGAAGAGACAGAAAACGCGTATATTGTGAAGAAGCAAGGACCGTTCCCAAACAAAAATAAGGAAGACGAAAAAAGAGCAGAGAC